AAAAACTTTTTTTCCCCCTTTCTTTTCGGGGCGGAGCCGCCCCGCCCCTGCTTCTCTCACTCTGCCCATGGTTGGGTGAGTTTTCCACCGGGCGGGGGATGGAGCAGCCTTCACATTCTGCTGCTCACCATCATCATCAGCTGCTGCTCTGGTGCCCATCCACAGACGGTAATGCTGGGGACTTTTATTTATTTACCAATAAACACGCGGCTCATATTAGGTTTCAGGTTCGTGACGCAGTATTTCATCCTCAGGGACAACAGTGGCCAAGGCAGATAAAACTCCTCTCCATTATTTTTAATGTGCATCTTAAAAAGAGGCAGATTAAAAATCAGTTTGTTTATACTAACAAAACATAACATTAACAGCCGTTAAAATACCCATAATGTACTATTTGAACAGCTCATAATGTGGCAATATGTCATATCTGTTTTACACCCAGAAGCATCATTTGGAAGCACAGTATAAAAGCTCTCATCCTGTTTACTTGACCTAGGTTCTGGCACTGGTGAGCTGATGGTAATCTCTCTTTGCGATGAAACATTTTGTTTTGGAAATTTAGGTTTTTGTTTCAGTTGTGGAGGATGTGGTTCATAGCAAACAGGCCGTGCATTGATATACTGCAGTACTCAGGCTTTTTGGAACACATGCAAAAGTTTTTTTTTTTCATGCAAATAACTGAGTGTAAATATTTTCTAGGTCATGAATTCCCTTTTGTGAAATTGTCCTTATATTTTATCTACATCTAGCTAGCTTCAAATCTGTTCCAGACGGGCATACAGTAAGACGAGCAACAATTGGTTGCAGAAAAATGTGTAAAAGTTACAGTATAACTGTTGAACTGCTTTGGACATGAACAAAAGTTGAGAGAGTTTTCAAGGTCAGATAAAATGTGTTAAAATCCCTCGCTGTCTTCAGGCTGGACAACTATAGATACTGTTGCACAGTGTTGAAGGCAGCAGAAGAATTAGCCTTGTTCCCCATAACAACTATGTTTTGTGATTTTAGGGACTTAATTTAACATAAACTGTGACATACATACAATGAGGTGGAATGTGGTTTAAGCTTTTACTATGACAGCTACACTTATAATTATTGTAATTGTTAATGCAGTACCAGCCAAGGCTTCTCTTCCAAATTCAGAGAGTCATCCATGTTTGTATGGGTTGCTCCGAAACAGAGGGCGTGCATTTAGCATCCTGCCATGTTCCACACCACCTTTGGTTGAAAGTGAAAACCACTAAGTGTGCAATGTAAAAGCGGCTAATCTGACGCTAGAAGACGCATACCAACACATGACTCAAACAGTGTCATTAAAATTCTCCCGCAGCCCCACACAAAAGTACATAAGGACTTTGCCAGCAGGCCACATAGCTGAGCAGGTGGGTGACTGACGTGACTTGTTCTGGGTTGGCATTGTTTCAGTCAAACGTTTCCCCTATAAGTCAACTCAATCATTCATAAATTCCATGCAGCTAATGAACACACACTTTCACAGAGGAGGGCAAATGAGGCTCTTGCTAAATTCCCTCAAGGTTTTCAACCCCACCCTCACTCCTCCCTCACTGTTTCTTCCCACGCTTTTGTTAAGAATATAAACAGTAAATTTGTCCTTAAAGCATGAACATAACACAACACAACTAGTATTTAACTATTTAAAATGGCTCACCTTTTCCCTAGGAGTTGGTATTTATGTTTAATAAAAAAATAACGTAGGTAAGATTTTCATCTTACGTTATTTTTAACCTTAGGTTTGCATATGTTGACAATATAGCATAGTAGTTTATAATATAATATAATATAATATAATAATTTGTTTAATTTTTTTTTTTGTTTATTTAATTTAATTTACTTTTTGTGAATTCTTCTGAATTTCTGACCCTGGCCCAGCTGTCTAAATTTCTAGTACTTTACATTTATCTCATTGTCCACACTCCAGTAGCACATGGGTGGAAGAGGTCTGAACTGTTATCTCTTATCTACACTTACTGTAGAAATGCTGCTTTTACATTAAGTGTAAGGACGGCACATACTGGGCTGTAGGTCATACCGACTCTGACACAGTACATTTTTCTTAGTAGAAAGCTTTCTGAAATAGGGACAGCACTGGAACTGTTTTGAAAAGGTGCAAAATGACCTCCAGAGGCCTCAAGCAAAGCTCTGTGATCATAGTCCACAGTAGAAGGAAATGAGAGAGAGAGAGAGAGAGATGAACAAAAGGCCTACAGAGAATTTGCAGAGTGAACAAGGGAAGGCTATGCTACTCAAGTAGTGTAAGTGTGTGAGTGTGTGAGTATGCATATAAATGTGTGTCAGCAAGGTAACAAATAAGTGAGAAACAGGGGTTATGGACTTACGTAACATCCTGGTGGTAACACACACACACACACACACACACTCTCACTCTGCAACTAATCCTTAACAATATCTCTGAAATGAAGTTCTGTCTCATTAGAGCACACACAGATGCACAGACACACATCCTGAGTCCTGCTGTCTGATGCTGATCCAGATGCAGTGCATCCATTAAGTCTGTCCCTGTTCCCCCAACATGATGGGTTGATATGACAGTTGTCTGTGCTGTGGATGAGGAGTGTGTGTTTGTGGCCATAGTTGATCTGGTGATGAATGTGAATGAGTCTCTGTAAGTGAAGAACCAAATGACACTGTTGCATAAAGGCCTGGACTATTCAGGGTGGACAGCAAGGCTTTTATTCATCAGTGAGCATGGCCTGCTTGTCCACACAGAGGAGTAGCCCTCTTACCCAGACTGAATAAAAAAGCAAGGCCTCACAGACAGTGGAAGAAGAACCATTTTCAAAATTTAGTATCCTTCCTAAAAACTATAACATCTATAACTGAAATCATTCTTTTTGTGTAGGAGACAAAATAGACTGAAATCCCACTCCAAAGAGTTGGAACAGACACAGAGAGAGACATAGTAGTAATATTCTGGTGAACAGGTTTACTGGTGTCACGATTGGGTTAAAGGAGTACTCAGTCTTTAGAAGCAAGAATGGGCTGTGGCAGCATTCTTTTGTCAGCTTATAAAATATTTTTCATACTAATACTTTTGACGGCCAACGCTTCATTATGTTATCAAAGACCAAAGTTCTGTAGGCGGGAATATGACACTGCAATTGTTTTCTCGGTTCTCAAGCTTATTAAAAAGGCTCATTAAAAAGTTTTCAAATAATTGGGTTTTGTATGAAACCACCCACCCAACATGTGTTCAGTATGGATGGATGACATGACTGAACTGTTGAGGGCAGCTGACCTCGCAGTCGGCCTGAAGAGTGAGGAAAATCATGCTGCTAATATGAAAAAATGCCAGTGACTGATTTTATTACCACGCTATTTATATCAGTTTCACGTGTCACATGCATTGTGTAAAAAACAATCAATGGAAACTCCCTTTTTTCAAAATAACTTACCGTACTTTTTGTTCTCCTGGTGATTAAAATTATGTCTGTTTTTTTTTTTTTTTTTTACTCTGCAAATTAAAATCCTAATTACAGCCTCAATAACTCCCAGGGCTCGTGGCCAAAATAGCTGCCAAATGATGTGACCCGCCCTTAAGTGGAATATATTGGACTCATATAAGAAATATGGAAATGTCAGCCGAATGTGGAGAGGTTACAATGACAAACAACAATGTGTTTGGCTGATGTTGTTGTAATTTATTTGTCCATGATGCAGCTACGACAACCACTCACGACGACAGAGCGTGTGTTGTGCTGCCAGCTTTGACTGTAGCCACGGCTCTGACACATCAGCAGGAGGAAGGAGCGCCGTGTCGCAGCTGCAGAGTTGCGTGCACTGGGTAGATTAAATTTGGATGGTGAAATTTGAATATGCTGGCGAATTCACACAGTGTTTGGTAGGAGGCTGCTGGACAAGAAAAGTAAATAGAAAGTGGACACACTGGTTAGGCCAGTCAGTATTTACCAGAAAACCAGCTACTGTTTTGTCCACTGACAAAATTAAATCACTAAACAGATGAGCTTAAAATCCTCAAAGTTGAGCAGATCATCTGAGGAGTTTTGGGAAATGGCATGAGGGCAGGTATATTTATACAACCAACACTTGTTTGATTGTTGAGGACTAACTAATTGTCTGGGGCCTTCCCTGAACAGTAGTATTTTAGTTTGAGCCTCTGTTTTTACAGTTGCTGGTCCTTTCACTAAATTTGACTTTTGACCCTTAGACATGTTGTTACGGTGATCTTGGATTGTTGAGTTGTGTTATGATGGTTGTCTTTTATCATCCAACGGTTTCCTGTGTGAGTCACTTTACCTTACAGTTTGTTACCTTACAATATAACTGATTTCTGGAGACATTTGTTCTTTGGAGTTTTTTTTATCTCAGAAGAGAGTACAGTCGAGTCAGGAGCCAAATATTATGGTTGTGGATTGTTTCTTCAACTTTGAACCCGTTGGTGGTTTGAATCTTACTTATCAATCTGATCGTACGCATGTCGACTTTGTCTGCCTCCTTAAAGCATTTGTTGATACAAAGATGTTTTTAAAGAAATACACGCTCCCTTGTACCAACCTGCTCTGAAGGGCAGGTTGGTACAAGCCACTGATGTGTCATGGGTGGAAAAATTTGTAATTGAAATGGCCAGGAGAATCATGGGTGTTGTGCTTGTGAAATGGAATAAAAAAAAATATTGCAAGGACAAACATGATATGTTATATAATGCAATATGTACAATAGCAGAAAAAAAGCACTCAATCTCAGTGTGTAAATGTTAATTAGCGTCACTTAATCAATCTGATTGTCATACTGATGTGATTCAATGAGGATGTTCTTGTTTGAATAAGGCCACACTGTACTCTCCTGAAGGCCAACGTAGTTTTTAGATAATTAAGTCCTTATCTCTAATAATATTACTTTTATTGTATTAACAGGGTGATAAGTCAATCACCACGCTGCACGCACATCCCTACATCACTGAGACGCAGTGAGTGAAACTAACAGAGAGTGCTCCAAAACTCAATCAGTTTTCCAAAGTGGAATGTCAGGGTGTAGCTCTACGATCACAGCCTAGGTTGTAGGATCAGCTCTCTGCCAGGTGGCTTCATCACTTGTACAGCACCTAATAGAGATTCCTCAATTAAAAAGAAATTCAGACGACGCCCTCTTAAAAATTCAAGTGCGTCACAGGAGGTTTCAGGAGCCAAAAGTCACTTAGCTGCTGATGTGTACAATCTGGCATCTGTATGTGGAATATCTCCGGCATATCCTGCGTCAAACACAGCTGTTTACACTGTAATGTGTCCTTATATTAATGGTATGGAGACCAACCGGATGTGGTTAACTTTCCTGGCACTGGTTGAAACATGAAAACACGTACAGTATTCAAAGTAAACAGAACTGAAGAGTCTGTTCTACCATTCAAACGTTTTCATTTAGGATCGCCAGAGAGCCAGTTGTTTAATGTTTGAGGTGATATGAAGACTTTAAATGCAGAATAATTCAACATATTAGCTGCAGTAAATGCAGTAAATGCAGAATAATTCAACATATTAGCAGTCTATGCTAATACCACCCACACGCAGGCTGAGGTCATGAGATTCCCAGCAGAGGGAAATGAACCATGGTAAAATTAATCCAGTAGATAGGCCCTGGGCCAGAACACAGCTGATGAACACTGACTCTGTTACTTAGACTGGACTCTGAATCCTTAAACTTAACAGGTTTATTGGCTGTAAAACTCTTGTGAACTCTTCCCCAGAGGTGGACACCTACTGCCGCAGTGATGTCATAAACCGTGTAGGTCACTGTGTCATGTCTAACCCACCGCACTGTGGCTTTAACTACTGTTTTTCTGTTTTCCACCAAACAACACTTAGTAATATCGGTTTGACGACAACAGCTATTATCCCACTTGTGGACTGGACCAGCGGTCCCAGTGGTGAGCTGAGGTGTAGGCTCTGGTTTCATAACCTTCTTGTTTTGACAGCGAGGGGACAAAAATTACATAATTGGAGAAACTGTGATTGACAATACTAAAAATGTAATGTTGAAAATAGACACAATGGGTGGAAAATGAGAGAGGAAAAAATAGAAGTGGAAAAATAAAAAATATATATATAAAAAAACCAACAGGATTTGTTGGTGGTTACTTACTGTTGTCTCCGGGGCAGCAGTAAGTGTCTGCGTCTGACTCATTGTGGTAGTACAGGTCCATCGCCTGAGACACAAATATAGATTTAGTTAGTAAAGAAACCTCACGCACTCAGACAGGAAAGAGAACGTTGGCCATGAGCGTCACAGTTGTAATTGGCAACAGTGTCTTTCAGATTAAATACATCATTTTTTTTAAGGTCTACTTTCTCTGAGAGATGAATTTGGTTTTTATGTTATGACGTTTCGCAGCCACAGCTGTGTTGATGGCAGTTGATGATACAAGGCTACATTGACTCGAGAATGTGCAACAATCTAATACAGTGTGCAATTTGTTGCAACAGGACAAGGGACATTAACTTTTGGGGGACATTCAACCTGGACTGTCATTTACAATATGACTTCCTGTCCTTGTCCTTGTCAGTCAGGATCGCAGTCTCAGACTTCTTCCCATGGGTGTTTCCTTAGAATCAAACATGTGTGGACATGTTTGTGAGCTGATTTCATCTTCTTCAGTTTTTCCGTCAACAACCCAAATATCATTTAATCTTTGTGTACCTTGTTGGCAGTTTTCTTCTTCTAAGATAAACTCACATAAATGTCCATGTACCAGGAACTGGGTTGATATTCCTAATAAAACCTTAGCTCTGCACAGTCACCCTTATAGTGTTGCCCTTTTGACCTTCTCTGGTTTCACATCACTCCTGTCTGCTATTCTGTGATTATTTATTGATGAAATAAAGCAATACAATGGAGTTTCATTTGCAGCAGGGCTGAATAAAGGCTCTGTCTTTTTGTCAGTTTTCTATTACTGATTCATTTTTTCCAAGTAAAGAGAAGACGTATGCACAGAGGGAAAAAAAAGACAAATGGAGAAACTGTTTTGTCAGTCTAAAGGTCAAGAGAAGGTGGAGACAGGCATGAGTGAATTATGAGTCATAAAATGACACTCATTTACTGGTTTAAAAGTAAAAAATAAAAAATAAGCAGAAAACATTTGATTATGACTTAGTATGTTTCATAGAAAGATGAAATTAAAAAAAAAGATTTCATTACCTGTTGTCAACATCATGATAATATATTACGTAAATAATATTAAATAATTACAGTACAGATGAAAATCGTAGCACATTTTAGTGGAATCCAAATTCATTTTTTCTGGTGGATTATTAAATGATGTCATTTCCTTCAGAAACCTGCCTGAGTTCGTTGGCGCGGCTGCCACATATCCTCCAGAGCGTAGCTGATGTAGGGTCCACTGCAGATGGAGCACTCCAGCATGACGGGGCTGCCCAGCAGGGGTGAGGCATGAATCCCCCAGGACTGACAACATCCCAGATGGACGTCTGACTCGGCGTCCTTCTGTTTGCCTGAGGTGTCACCATGATGGCGTCCCAGCATCTTCCACTTCCTGACCTGTAAGAGTCGGTTCAGTCGTTTATATATTTATATTTGGTTGAAGGATGTTTGAAAAACCACCTGAATATATGACACAAATGTTAGACAGCCACATATCACACATTATGAATAGTAATTATAATAATCAGCACTGTAAAATACTCTACAACAATTTTAATCACCACATAATTACTGGCACAGGAAATAGAGTTAGCTTACATCCTGTTTCCTATTGGTGAAATTCACAATCTACTCCATTTTAGTTTTGTTGTTTTTGTATCGTTCTGAGACCCCTCCTCCCTGCACTCCTCGCAGAAGCTGGTCATAAAAAACAGATGATCTGTTTTTTTTTTGTTTTTTTTTAGATTATGAAATGCTGACAAGAATTGTACTCACTGGTGATTTTTCGTAACACTGTTCTTATCTTGCTGATACCTTTATGTTCCCACATTTTTTTGTTCCATCTGGAGACTTTCGTAAGATTCTGGTACAGTTTTACAAAAAATAAAAAACAAAATCCAAAACAAAAAAACTGTATACGTAACATAAACACTGTCTAAATAAATATACCTATAAGCATGTAAAGAATTTAAATATATTGTAATACGTTATATAGTAATATAATATTTAATACGTACCTATATCTAAGGGGACTGAGTACTGATTTATTGTAATCCTTCACAGTGGTCAAATTTGAAGTAGGACCCAAGCTAACCCAGTGCTACAGCCGACGTCAACCTTATGAGTGTGATTTATGAATCCTCACATTTGAATTGCACAGAAGGCGGAGGAGTGTGTCCAACTCAGTCTCATCAGTAACCTGTGTTTGTGTGACAGCTGCACTGGTGACACACTCCCCAGAGAACGATCTCACCACGCACTCCTGATGTTCTCCATCATGACAATCAAGACCGATCCTTCGTGGCAGCGTACGCAGCGGACAGGCAACAACGTCAAGGCATGAACACATACAGGACACACCAGGAAGGTAAAGAGGAGAGAGACGAGATGCATGTGTTAAGAGATGCTAAGGTCAAGACACACTTAGTTCCTGAGGGAAGCCAATTGCACAGACGGATGTGTTTTGCCACCCAGAACGGCTGTTAGGAGGCTGAATGGTGTCCTTGGCCCACAGGTTCACTGGCTGCAGCCATTTCAGATGAGTTTTATCAAGGCCTCTATCAGTGGCTGTAGGCTCACTACATCACCACAACACAGGCCGGAGGACACTGTGTATTTATGAGTGTTTTCTCCTACAGTACCTCGCACAATGCTTGTTATTCTATAAATAAACTCGTGAAGGTTTAAACACCTACTTTTTTCATTAACAGTGTGGTGGGAAGAGCCTGAGTACGGAGGAAACCAATATGATGTAACAAGGTAAGTACTATTATGTACTATTATCTATTGAGCTGAACCTGGAGGTTCAGAAATGCTGTGTTCACGGTGCCCGGCTTTCCATACTGTACAATGGAATATACAAAAACAAAGTTTGTCCTCCACAAATGTTTTTTTTCTCTGAAAATGGCAAAGAGCTCAGGGAAAAACGAGAAAAAAAAGTTGTGAAACTTTCTCTGTGTCACTTGTTGTTCCCTGCACTGTAATTATAGCCCTGTGTCAGAAAAACAAAATGAATCCAAATAATTACCCCACATGAGAAGCTGAAGAAACCACAACTGTGTGCCTGTGTGTGCATGTTTGTGTTGTTGACATTTGGTCAAAACTGAAAATACTCGTAATATCGTGCATGACTATTGAAATGTTAAAAAAGTCTTTTTTTTTTCTATTTTATCAAATATTGTCACAATATTGTATTTAGCAGATTTTGTCGATGAAATACAAACATGCTTCCTAACTAGCTTATAATTATAGAGAATGGTGAAGTTATTCCTGGGTTCAGATCAAACTGGCGTTCTATGATAAACACCTCATCATAGTTCAGTAAGTGCCAACTGTAAGCCCTTCATCAAAATGATGACAAACTCTGGCTGCATTTTTTTTTTCTGGCACTTTATCATCATTTACTTCCGGGAGAAAATATGTGCACAGGAAAAACACAAACACACACACACTAGCATGCATGTGTGTAATATGTCCAGACTCAGCTTCCTCTTCAGCCCTCTTCCTGCCCTCTGACTGGAATTTTTTTGCTAAGGTCCATTAAAACATCAGTGGTCCAGAAATTATTTGGTTACATAAGACGTGGTCCAACAACATGACCTTCCACCCCGTAACTCAGGCTGTAACATAGTCCACAGAAACTCCCACAGTAAAGCCAGGATGTACACATCAACAGCACGGTGCCATGAATCAGGAAATAAAAACATCATGTGCACGGCGTCTGGACTTTCACACCCTCTTAGTGTGTCGCGTCCTGACTGACCTCCTTAACTGCCCTTTGCCTGTGTTCTGTACACATTATCTGTGAAATCCGTGTTAGTTAGTTACAACAAAGTTACATAATACCTTCGACTTAAGATCAGCCCGTTGCTCTGTTATGGTTCACGAAGCTACAAACACAAGCAGGGCCAGATAAAGCTGTACTTTCTATACTCAGTGTTTGGGGGAAATCACAGTGTGTTCTCCAGGTGACAACACACAGTGGGACAGAGATGTTGGTTGACTGTACTGTAGGTGTGTCAAATTTAATGTGAGACAGCATGGGTTTAAGTTCTGGGTTGTGTTGTTTAGTGGACGAACAAGGCGCTCGTCAATTTTTTTATACTTCTGTCTCAGACCTGATGTGTTTTTGAAAGAGTGGATGTCAAAAGTTACAAGAATCTTAAAATCTTCGATGTTCAACGTACGGCTCCCGCAGGACGTTTTAGCCGGTTCTTATTGATTTTCTGGTGAAACTTCAGTTGAAATGTATGTCCAATCCTCTCACATGTCCCTGGTTTCTCGTTGTGTGTCTCTGGTGTGCCCTAACAGGTAGACTGGAGCGGTTGAAATATATCGTACAAACATAACACACAGGTGTTGAGAACAGCACTGATAGTAACACTGTGGCCTTCTATCCTGGTGACCTCCTTTCCGCCTCGTCCGGCCTTTTCTTCACTGTCCTCCACCACCTCTCAGGGGTGCAAAACTCCACCTGCACGAGCTGGATGTCCCTGCGTTATGTCCCACATACAGTACCTCTGAGCACAAAAAGGTAATAAATCTGGGTGAAAGCCGGGAAGTAAATGCAGCGTAATGATGAGTACAACAGTGGGAATTAAGGTACGAGCAGATCTGTGGAGACTAAAGGAAGACATAAAGATAAACAAGAAGGATGGCTTCACCTAAACCCCTCGTTTCTCAGAGAACTGCTCATTAACAGTGGGGTCAGTGCTGGTTCCTCTCCCTTTCTTTCCCCTGATTCTGTTCCTAGATTGCCAATGTGAGTCTTAAAATGGATGAGCCAAGTGTAAAAGTCTGACTATAAAGGGAAATAGAGGCCGAGAGCTATTACATTTAGGAGATCCAGATTGAATACAAAAACCTCGTGCCTCCCAACGGAGGAAAAGTGTGAGAAATGCTGATAAGATCCAACAATAAAATTGGGCAGAGAGTCGGCCTGCAAAATAAATAGGCAGTATGTAAATAGAAAGAGTGAAGGACACAGGGAATTTGAGAACGGTGTTTTTGTTTCACAAAACATTTTTCAGGTTAGTGACACTTAGGTTTAGAACCATTTACCACCAACTAACTGCTCATCTTTATGTCCAAGACAGAGACAAGTTCTCTGAACCTGGACTTTCAGATGAAACTGCTAAATTCTCATCGTCCACTGTTCCACAGCTAATGCAAGTCATCTCTCCGATTATAAAAAGACACTGTCCTCCTGCATGGACTCGCTCATTCCTCTCTGTTTTTCTTTTTTTTTTCTCATGTCTACGAATAGAACATGAATACATCTGTGTGACACGGCTGTTATTTACTCCCAGCAGGAACTATTATGGGGTGTGTTTTGTTCTCATCTGTTCTGACACTAAAATTCACCTCCTGACTCACTGGGGGAGTCGTAACAATCTATAACAACGTTCTACGGTGCACAAGCACACATCGACTGAAGCGGCTAAAGTGAAAACATCAGATCATTAGCACTAAATATGCGTGGACACCACTGGTCTGACTTTTGGGTATTAGGTTAAAGAGGTTCAAATGTACCGGCATAATCAAATTTTAGTTTATTTATAACAGAGTCAGTTGATTGGCAGAGTTATATGCAGTGAGTTGTTTTGATTGTGTGGTTCAGAATTACACTGTCAGTTAGCCTGCAAATGTGATTAAAAAAAAAGAATTTTCCTATTTTAGTCAATGTGTTAAAACGATGGATGAATCAAAGAGTAACACACAAAAAACACCTACCGATCAGATTACAGATCAGCAGGATGTTACATCACACTGTTTTTTCCTCACTGTTGTGTGACATACGTGTTGATACCTGACTTAGCCTGTCTGCAGTCCAGTTCTGCCATCTTTAAAACTGTCTGTTGTTGTTGTGTTTTTCTAGAATGGAATATTGAAAACTGATCAGTCTGTAATACTCTTAGATCTTTCAGTAAAAACACCAAAGCTGCTACGGTTAAAATGACAGATAAGGAGGATGAATCTGCTCTAAAACACAAAGGTCCAACATGTTTTTATCACATATTACTCAAGCTTCATCATCATTATGACTTTGTTTCCCTGCATTTATTTGAGCACTCAGAAACCACACAGTGTAACGTCAACCATGACTGGAAACATAATGAGAGAAAAAACTAATGGGTCTGAGTCTATAGTGCAGTAACAAAAGACCGCCTCGGAGCGTCCTGTTGTCCACTCCTGTGAATAAGCACACTGTTGCCGGAGTGGAAGCAGATCAGGTCGACTTTGAGCTCAGTTGTCAGGTATGTGCCACAAACCTGGAAACCACACAGAGCAGTGTGTACAGAGCTGAGGATGTGAATGGTGTAGAAAAAGAGCAGAGTCATGGCGACGCTGAAGACAGATTAGAAAAACATCGTAATCTCCGTATCCCCCTGAACCTCATAACGTAGTGAGTAGAGGATAGAAATACGGCACAAATGTTGGTGCCAAATTGTTAAAAAATATAAAAATCAACTGCATTCTTCCAGCAGCTTGAGTCCTTGCATTTGGAACAAAAGCAGAAGTAAGGGTTAGTCATTTTCCACTCCGTGGCGTATATTTGCTGAGCACACGCTCTGATCACAGGTCAGGTCCTTGGTGTAACACTCTGCTGAAAGTGTGTTACACTGACAAAGATGATGGTGAAAAAAAAGTGTTGAGTTTGTAAAGCATTACCAGACACAGTTTTAATGGAGAGATTGGATTATAACACATATACTTAATTGGCAGACAGTGAGCGGCTCAGGGGATCCTGAGGATTTGAATGGAGACCATGTGTTTGAACAGAGCTCCATATCTATTAGCTAACCTATGTCAAACAGCAGAACCAGAGACTTTATTGGTATTGGTGCCAGCCACTCCTCTGCTGAGGGACTGTAAATCCCTCCCTGCTTTTTGTTATCAAATATAATTGGATCTTGTGAGTTTGTGTTATTCCCAGTGCTGGTTAAAACTGGCCTGACAGTAATGTGAGTTGTGTGAGATGCAGCTAATGTTTTGTTCTTCTAGGCTGTGTTATATGTTTGGTCAGAGAAATTAAAACGTACCAGTGACCCACTAGGGCAGCAGAGTATTTAGGGCGTGCAAGAAAGTTTCAGTAGCCTGGATTAGTAGAAAAAGTAAACTGTTTCATCCACAACGACTGAAAGCACTTCAGTTTGAGGATTTCTACTCTCTGCCCTGACTCCTCTCATCAGATAAGCCCAGATAGATACACTTGTTTTTTTCTTACCCGACAGATAACCTAGAGCAATCTTCCTGGACTTTTCTGATATTGATGGCTCTGTGTAAGAATCTTTTCTTCAGGTTTCTCAGCAATATTGTAGCTGCCACTGAAGGGTCATGTAATGAGACCAAAGCTTCACTCCTTTTATTTCTTTCTAAACTTTCTCAAAAAAAGACTGGTGGATGTCTTTAGAACTGCAGCAAAAGCATTCTTACTTCCTTAAAAAAGAGGAAGATTTCACAAGATAGATAAAAGTTGGTGTGTAATTGTATTTTTTTATACAGTATAAAGTATCATCTTTTCTGACATGCAGATCATCAGTACTGCATATATTTTCCCCACAGGGTCCACAGTTCAGATGTGAAATAGATGTCAGCAGTCCAGAGTTCACAGCCGTGTCTTGAAACGTCAGAATAATGTCAGTTAAAGGTCACCCAGTAATGCAGTGTGATGATCTTTAACTATGACACGCAAGTCATTAACCATTAGCTCTGAACTGTGTCTAAGAAAGGCCACCTCTCAGATAAGACGATTTCACCGACCAAAGTCCAGAGTGAATGTAATCGCTGCAGTTAGAGAGGAACAGTATATGGGTAAAATGCTGACTAAAAGACTCACTTAACAGATTTTTTTTTTAGTGACCAACCACCACTGCCTATTCAGGGTTTCATCATTAGCACAAACACCATGTTTAGGAACAAAGCTTCAGCCTTGGCATCAGCCGAGGTGGATTTGTCACGGGTCGTGTCACTTCTTTATTTCTCCACACTGCGTGAAGAGCCAAAGAGCGCGGCCAACAGACGTTCACGTCACATGTGACGTCCCACTGATGCACTGAGTTGGCATCTATTAGAGTCAGGATAAAGGTGCAGCATGACCACACTTTTAGCTCTTGCTGACTCCAACAAAACATTAACAAGATGAGCGAACACTCACGGACAGATGAGCTGAGAGCCAGCCCCAACCCCCACTTCTGATTCCAAACTTATTCCTAATGAATTCAGATGCTTTCTGGCCGTTTACTTTCTGTTGCTTCTTTTTTTTTTCTCTCAAATCTAATCAGTAGTCAGCCACATCTCTCAGGCTGCAGGGGGAATAAAATAAAATTACTTCTTGGACACACTTGGCTTCTCCCATCTCCTTATATTTCTGAACTCACTTTCTGCACAGCCTCAGTTTCTCCCTTCTTACTTTGTTCTTTCCTCTCTTCCTCCTTCCACCTACTTCACTTGCGTCCCGCTCGGATGGGTTTTAAACAGTAAACACAATTAAGGAGAAGAGAAGGTCAGTGTGGCCTGAGTCAACATGTTGTTCTATCTAATACCTAACACAGAATGATTAACACCGTCACCTGATCTATTTAGAACAGACTGTGAGGAAATGTGATGTTTCATTTCTCCTGAGAGGCTGATGCGTAAAAAAAAAATGAAATATTGAACAAGTTTTGAATTAAATTATTGACTTTTATTTGAAAATCTATATAATGAATACAATAAAATATATTGTAAATAGTTCACATTCAATTGATATTAATTCAATTAAAATTAATGTATTAAATTAGTAATTAGAAATAATGATATGTTTACTTTTAAAGTTTGGTCTCTGTGCACCAGAATAAAAGTGTAAAAGACAAAATCCAGAGGGTTTTCTGCTGGACTCTGGCAGGGCACAGGAAGCTCCCTGCCACTTGAGCTGGACAGGGCAGGTGCCTGCTGGTGTTCCAACAATACGTCAGTAGTTATGGTTTACTCAGCTTATTTAGCACGCTCATCAGCATGGTCAGCAGGTGGAGGTTTGAGCAGTGCCTATGATACAGACCTCAGAGCCTGATCACAGCAAGTTCCCTTCCCTTCTGAGTCACAGTACAGCCAAATAAAATATAAATATATATAAAAAAAATGTGTTCACCAAAAACTGTGGAGGACAGTTTCCACCTGAGTACAGGACATTTGTGCCTTCATGTACAGTACCCACGTCAGTGTATGCACTGTGAATTGCAGGAAAGTAGAAAAAAAAGAGAGAAAAACAAAGATAACATTTCATCATGATAAATCGTCAGCAAGTCTTTTTTTGATGACGCTCCCTTACGGACTGTACAAACCTGATAAAGGAGATTAGTAAACAAGCCAGATTTGCAAATACTGTGTGCAGGTTTTTGTTGAGGTTTCAGTACAGGATGTCCTATGTGGAGGATTTATTTGCCTTTGACTACTGGTCATGCTGCAGCGGGAGGGGGGAGGAGGGAGGAAGGGGTAACATGCTCTAACCTCATCTCCTTTATCTTCTAATAAAACTGTCCTCTCAGCTCTCCTCATCTTTCATCTCTCTCTCTCTTTTACCTTAGACCCGTTGCCATAATTTTCTTATTCCTCATTCCCAGCATATTTTTCTCTTTAATTCTTTATATGTGCGTATAATTTATTCATGATTATAATTCTAGACTCCCTTTATTCTGCTCTCAGTAAAAATAATATATATATTTATGCAAAGCTCATAAATTCCAAACACCTGTTTTATAATATAATATATATCACCACCGTAAAACTTGTAATACGGGAGCCTACGTTAAGCTTTGGCTCAGACAGACTTATTGATAATGGCACCAGGTGACAGCCATGCAACGCCTGGGTCAAGGTAAAGCAAAAGATAAAGGTGCCGCAGTGCATATTTAACTGCGCTGTGCAGTAAGATGGCATCTGTCCAGGTTTTTCTGGGATCAAGTCTGAGATTTGACCTGTTTAAAATTATCAAAATATTGCAGATATTATATATATATATATATATATATATATATATATATATTTTAGGTTAGGGGGTGGAGGTGGGACTAAGGCTTGTTTCAGATGCATCTTCACTCTGGCAATAAACAACTGCAACAAGAATTTGCTGCCAAGTAAAGATTAACTGTGCCGGAGAAAAAGCTGCTGCTGCTGCTGCTAACAGTGGGTGTAATGTGGAAAAGCTACAGTAAGCAGGACAGAAGTTGAACACTTGACAACGAAGGGCACTTAAGGCAACATCGCACTCATTAGTGAATTACTTAAAAAAAATATATATACCAGTTTGGTTACCAGCACAAACAAACTAATGTATCTAACCAAGAAGTCAATAAATAAAACCATTGACTATCTACTGTATCTCTTCCCTGTAGTAATCCCTGAAAAGTATACAGTCACTGTGATCATAAATATGATTTATGCACATTTTTGAATGCTCAATCCCATTGTATAATCTGTCCTGACCACACACCTGTGCAGATTAAAGAACTGACAAGGCTATCACTGATCTGATCTCCTTCAGGGTCGGTCAAGATCCAGCTCTAATACTACTGCATGCTGAAGGTTGTTGCTACAGCCTTACAGCTAACAGTCAAAATGTTGTCCCTGGTTAACGCTGCAATATCCCTGGCATGTAGAAGGACATTTGTTCTTGCTTTTGTTGCATTTGTTGAACCAGTGCGTTGCTCAAGAAACATTTCTAAGACGTAAAAAGTTTGATGGAGAGAGTGAGTCAAGATACGGCCCTGCCGGGCACCAACTGTGCAGAACATGGCGTAGGAGAGGTGAACTTTGTCCTGGGACATTGAGCAACAAAAACAAAGAAGTCAAAGACAGCAG